TGGGATTTATGCAAAAGCTCATTCACCCACAAAGGTGGCAGGAATTACTGAATCATTTCACCTCAGGAAATGAATGACTGGACACTACTCTAGTCTGATTTAGCTCTAATTCTGCCCACCACAACAAAATCCTGCATTTCTTACGACAATCCTATACAAAAAGCAGCTTCAACATGGGAGAGGATCTACTCTGTGTGATGAGACACCCGCCAGTCGTGACATAGAACAAGAGGAAGAGCATCTCAGAGGGAGTGAGGGAAGGAAGGTACCAGTAAGACCGGAACAACACAAGTTCTCATTTTGATATGGCTTTGTGGACATCCCTCCATCTGAATGAGGATGCTGTAGTACTATCATGAACCTGGTTCTGAATGCTCCACTAGAAAAAAAAAAAAACCTCAAATATTCTAAAGTATTCTCTTGTGTATCTTTAATTCTCCATAGCTATCATCAAGTATGTGACAAAGGACAGAGTGAAACACCAAATGCTGCTAAAACAAGTTCTAAAAATTAAATCTTAATCTTTCCTGATTACAATGAACAACCTGGAGCCTTTTCATCCGAGTCCAGATGACATTACTTGAGTGAAGAATCTGTTCTCTCACTAGGCCAAAGTCTTCTCATGTTTTACTTGATTCCACCCAAAATGGCTGCAAAAAGATGGCTAGAATAACTTATTTGCTGATTTGTGGAAAGTGCTGGATTGCATGTTGTATCAAAATAAAAGCAGGAGAGTAGTTCCATATCCTGCAACTACATGTCAACAATAGCCTTCCTAGAAATACAGCCCAGAAATAACTGCACATCAGATGTCAAGTAAGAAATCAATGCAGACCAAATTCAGGATCGTAGAAAAAAATAGAAGACAGTTGCAAATATTAAACAACTGGGTTTGTTTTGCAAGAGGGCTTCTTTGATTTTTTTTCCTTATAAATAATTTGATTTTTTCTTATATATGGAGAAACACAGAGCTGTGCAAGGCCTTGTTTCTTGCAGCTGAAACACCTGATCCTGGTTATTGTTAGACATTAGAGAAGACAGAACATTTCAATGTACTGAAGGGTTCCAGTGTCTTGTTCAGGTCCTGTAAACTGTCAGACAGTGGCTCCTGAGCAAGTTCTACATGCCCCTGAACTATTAGCTTGGGGTCAGGTCTGGAGGTTTTGGCATACATTTTTTTGCTAACTGACTGCCTCTCTTCACTCAAAATAATTCACATTTTCAATGAACTGTTTCCATCTTCACAAGCTACACTCCAGGTATGGATCAGCCCATTTGTTGGGTAAAAGATGGAGTTATACTTAGCAGAGAACTCCCATTTTCAGAAGAACCTCAGATTTTTTTAATTTTTTTTTTTAGAAAGTGAGTTAATTCAGTTTTTAATCCATGCAAACTAGAAGATCATCTTCTAAACATGACCTGACTATGAACTGAGGCAGTACTATACTGGGAGGTTTGCCAGGGGGAGGCACCAACACTGCTTTTAGGAAGGAAAGCGGGGTAGGATTCTCCAAGGGCTCCTTGAGTCTTTTACCTGCTGGAAGAGGAGTATCAGCAAGATGACACATCAGATCACGAGTGGCAAGAAGATCGGTATGCAGCAGCGTACTAACATCTATACATGAGCGTTTGCCTTTTGCAGCATGAGGATTAAATTCAGGAAGGCAGGTGGATGTCTAGTAAGCGCCACTAACCCACCTCCTGCATGTGTCCCAAACATGCAGCCTTCAGAGCCTAAAAAGCAGTTTGTGTCAAGGTGTCTGGAAGCCTCTAGTGCCTCTGAGGCAGCCCCGGAGGAGCCTTCAAGCGGCACCATGCAACAGGTCACACAAAGGGTTTGTTGTCAGTTTTCTTCATAACAGCTGTAAACCATGATCCAGAAACACTCGCGCACTCTTATTTCTGTCATCCCAGTAGAAAGTTGTGTCCCTTCTGTCACCATACAAAAGGGATCTCTATATGAGACAAGGCTATCAAGGCGGTCATATTCCAGAAACAGAGGCAGCATCACCCCATGACTAGCATCATTGAGATGACCCTATAGAAACCATTACTTATGAGTAATACTTGGTTTTAGAGTTCAGCCACTACCTTCATACCATCAGCAGATACCTAGCCATCAGGACAAAAATCACCAACAGCTACTACACACATGCAGTTTTTCTGACACAATTTCCATTACTTATCTGACACAATATGTTCCATTACTTTATGAGGAAACCTGGCAAGGCTGTACTTCATTCCTAAATCCTACAGGGATTAAAAAAACAGATTTAAAAAAACAGAGGAAAAAAAAAAAAAACAAACCCAAAAGGGTTGTTGCTGACCACAATCAACAACTAAACCCACATGACTCAGGTTAATAAGAGGACACACTCTACACAACACAAGGTATCTAACATCTACCCTGCAGGCAGAAAGTTCCTGTTCTTTCAGTATTGATTTCTTCAATATTTATTTCCTTAGCAGCCTCAAATTGCTTCAGAACCAGTTTTCACAACAAAAGACAAGAGGTCACTGCCTTTTCCGAACAGCTCTGAACACAAAGACTACAGGATTAGACCAGCACTCATCTTGGCAAAGATGCTCTGTGCATCATTAAATAGGGATTTTCCACTTTGGTAACCCTGTGCCAGCATTTGAGCCCATGCACTTTTAATAATGAGTTTCTCATTACAGTTTTATCCAGTTTCTCTCTCAGTTATTTTTCTTGTTCCCATCAGAGATTATAAAGAAATTACAATTTACTTGAGATTCCATTATGTGAAAAGAGTATGGTACTAAAACAAAGCACAAGCAAAAATATTAGTCATTATAGATAGAGATCACAGAAATTACCTCCTTATGGAGAGAATTGTTATGGTTTGGTCAATTTTAAAAACTGTTTCCACAAAATAGACCCCACAGAAAAAAAGGAATTAATGTTAGTTCTCATTTGTCTTGAAAGTCCCCAATTAAAGAACATAGTTTTAACAAAATACATACTGAATGTCCTGAGAAAACACATTCTGGATGCAAATCTTGTATACCTGCAAAGCTCACATTACCAAGTACCCAAAAGCATTAAGTAATTCCTTTTAGAAATAACTTAGAGTCTCTCTGGAAAATGTGTCATTTGTTTTATGTAAGAAGGTAGGCTTACATTTGTTAATGTAAGAAGGTAGGCTTGAAAGTTATCTCATTACAAAGAAAACAATTTTTACAATTAGCCCTGTAAACTTAAATTCTTGTTATTATCTAGCAATGAAACCCGTCTTTGAAAATGAAGGCCGAAGAATGTAACCATATTATCATTGTTACATGACTTTTGTTTTCGTAATGGCAAAAGAAAGGTAGCTATTACAATAAACTGTTTGTTAAGGTCTGTGATTTCATTTATGTAAACTATGCAGTTAAATCCTTTATTTTTATAAGATCCTCAGAAACTGGTAAAACGTAGGTTTTTCAGAATATAAAGAATTCAGCAGGTTCAAGGGAACCTCTAATTTTCTTGGAAAACACAGGAATTATTTTCTCTCTATTCTGATGTTCTACAAAGCACAGCAGTATCCCGGGTATTAAACCACTGTTTTTAAAAGAGCACAAGGAAACAGACAAAAGAAAAGAATCTGTAAAGGTCAACAAAAGCAATAAGGACAGAATACTCCTTTCTTACTCTGTAACACATTAACCATTAGAGGTGGATCAGTCCGTATTAGCCATATCAGCTCTGTCCTCCAGGTTCTCATCCAGTTCCCCTCTGCAGGTCGCCCACAGCCCTGGAACAACCTAAAGGCAATGGCGCACCTAAAACTCCCACCACCAACCACGGTGGCAAGAGCAACTGCCGCATCAGCAGATAAAGAGGCACAGTCATCGGTGTGCACCCCTCTTTCTACAGCGCCAGGGGTCATGCTGGGGTAACATGCACCAGCCAAAAGAAGTGCCAAAGCGTAGGGCAGAAGTGAAGGGCAGACCAGATAGAGGACTCAGCTTGGTCTAGCATCAGCTTTTTCTTCAGTGCTTACAAAAGTTATGGAGAGTCTGTTCTCCAGCTGCGTGGCTTGTTGCAGATTTTGACCTGTCCTGGAGGTAGAAACAGTCAGAAATTTTCACAGGTGCTTCACTCCATCACTGTAATTCCCCTCTTTAACGTCAATTAGCAAGAAATTCTCTGTGTTGCCTTCAGGACCCTAGAAGGCAAGAGCAGACCAGCCTGTTGTTTCAGCTTTGACTAACACAGTAAAATCTGGTCAATTGATCACCCCAGAGGAATGGATGATAAGAAATAATTATCCATCAGTAATTTACCCACACCCAGGCACGTAATTTTTACAGATATAATTTCATTCCATATTGAGATGTAGTAGAAGTTTATTCTCAAAATTTGTAATAATACAGTGTTTCTGTCATTATGAAATCCTGTGTGTAATTTGCACACTACCTAATTCATGCTATGATTATACAGGTTTAATGCTTATGGTACACTTTGCTAAAAGGTAATTCAGAGCACTCGCTACTACTGTAAATGCTTACAAAGGAGGAGTGAAATTATGAGAGACTTTTGCTTTGTCTTCACAGATGCAGTCATCACCAAAATGGAAAAAAAATTGTTCCAAGTGGAAGAATTGTACCTTTCAGAACCAAAGAAACCTGAAAACTAGACAAAGATTTGAGACTATCAGTTACCTCACAAATGCTATGGAATATAACCAGATCACTCCATCACAGGCATTACTGTTGTTACTACCATAAGTTAAGGGGTTTTTCACTGTTGCAATAAAATAGTTTCATCTGAGTGGATAAGGCACTAAGATTTGATGTTTAAAGACTTGCACTTCAAAGACAAACATGAAGTTCACATGTACTAGAAAAGTAGAGCAATTTAGGGCTATTTCATCTTCTTTAATGAAACAATTGGCGCCAACTTTAGTTTCAACAAATTGTTGAACTGCCATCAAAATATATCTCAGCCTAAACACCTTGGAAGGTTTTGGAAAAGTAAAATCTCGAATTTCCTTTCATTCTGATCCAGCATGTGGCCTCCTCTTCAGCTTAATCCAGATGCCATTATTTGGACGAAGAATCAGTTCTCCAGTTACACCAAGCTCTTCTGGCTTTTGGCATGAGTCTACCCAAAAGCGCCGCATGATGAGGGCTAGAAGAGCTTTCTCCTCCATTTGTGCAAAGCGTTGACCTTCAAAAGTTAGGAAACAGCAATGAAAAAAAAAAAAAAAAAAAAAAACATTCTTTTTAATATTATATTATATATTATCAACAGTTGCTGCATTTGCATGCTCACAGTCATACCCCTAGGAACACCAGACAGCAAGGACTGTGCATCTGCTTTGAGAACAGAACTGGATTTAGGCCAAAAATTGAGGTCATGTGGATACTACTCAAACTAGCACTTTTCTCTGCGTGACAGCTCTGGCCTTCCTGGGACAATCCACAGCACATCCTCCTTCCCATAGTACCCAGAACTCAAACAGCAGCACATTACATGGAACTAATACAAAACACAGCCTTGTCATGTCTCTTGGATGGACTAGGCAGGGGGGAATAGATGCCGGACCAGAACAGAAGATGCAGTACAGGGACTGCAAGGAGAGACAAATCCCACTGTTCCATACATGCAGAGAGGAGCAAAGGCAATACAACTGCAACACAACAGCAGACAGATCTTCCTGCGATGAACATGAAGCATCACACAAACTGATGATTTAGTAGCACAGAGGGCAAAGTTCAATTTACACTTCAGAGAAAGGTGGAGGAGGAAAGGGGAGAACAGAGCAATATGAGGGAAACCAAAGCAAATGTCACAAATCCAGCAGTTCACTCAAACTAAACTGAAAGTGAGAACAGGACACAAAACCCAGTGCTCAAAATTTTTTCCGTGCTCCCTTCTGTACAATGTGCACAGATGGATGTCTGTGCACATGTACGCAGTGATGCATTTCTGCTGTGCTATTCATGAACCACCTCTCCTGCACATGTTCCTGTACACCCAGGAACTAGCTAGACACATAACATTAAATTAGATTCCTCTTTGGAACATGGGAAGACCTAGTCTGCTGTTCTTATGGGAAGGGTGCCTATTCCAAATGAGACAAATTAAAAACAATCAAACAAAAAAGGCCCCCCCCCGCAAAAAAAAAAAAACAACCAAAAAACAAAAAAAACAAAACAAAAAAACCAGAAAAAGTTGTGTTTCCTGTTCCTGTAAATGGGATGATAATTGCTGAGTGTTCCCCATCCGCACTTAAGATCAGTGCAGGGCACCATCTTTTCATGTGTTCTACAAAATAAACAACAGTGCCCCTACTCTGAGCACAGATAATTGCCAAGCCTCTCAGTGGCATCTGAAAAGCTAACAAGTTCTGGGGTGACACTGAAAACACCAGAGCAACAGTGGTGTCAGAAAGAGGGAAAGAATACATCAGTTGCAGACTGCATGTCTGGGACACCCAGCTGAGATCGTGAGAGAGACAGATGAGATGTTTCCAGAGCAAAACAAGTGCAGGACATTTGCCTTCTCTCGCTCTGTCTTGCCAACACTAAGGATCAGAAATTTGGAAGCAATCCTGTCCAAACACAGGATCCCATTAACATGCTGCCAGGCTGCACAGGCAGGGAGGAGGAAACACCAGCATGATGGACGCTGGCCCCTGGGAAGAAAGGAAACCTTTGGGAAGAAATAAAATGTGGCAGTTCAAGCACCAGGCTTGCAGGGGTGACGGTGCCCAGAATTCAGGGGCAGGGCTGGAGCAGAGAAGGGGGAAAAGGAGGGAGGGGAACAGGACAAGACCAAGAGGCACATCAAGACTTAAATTTCTGATACACTCGCTGCTGCCCCAGTTCCCACAACACAAGCAGCACTGCCGTGTTACAAGGGCTTCTTCTTCAGCTACCTACCAATGCAGTTCCTGGGACCAGCGGAGAAGGGCACATAAGCATATGGGTGCCTTCCCTTACAATTTTCGGGGAAGAATCGCTCAGGCCTGAACTCCTCTGGGTCAGGAAAGATCTCAGGGTCTCTATGCAGGGCATAAGTTATGACAAGAACATTTGTGCCTTTTGGTACTTGATATCCTCCTAAAAAGAAAAGGGAGAGGGAGAAGAAGGGTTGAAACAACAGCAAGTAAGTGACTTTCTATACACAACAGCACAGAAAAAATAAAACAATGCTGTCCTTCACTTGGGAAACACCTTCACTGAGGAGATGCTACCAGGACAAGAAGTGGCAAATGCAGGACACTACTTACTAATGCAGCAATCCTCTCTCAAGGTACGGGCAAACAGCGGAACTGAAGGGAAGAGACGAAGGGCTTCTTTCACAACACACTCAAGGTATCGAAGCTTCTTCAAATCATCCATTGTAACAGGACGCTCAGTGTTGCCTGTCCAAAAATAAACAGGGCGATAAGCAAGACCAAAACTCCCCATTTTTGGTTAAGCAAACTCACCCCAGCTCCCTTCATGAACTCTCATCATGCACCAAGACCACATAGGAGAAGGTGCTACACATACATTGAACATGCATGCCTTGCCCCAAAGACATAAGGTTGGTGGTACTCTCCTACAGACCTTCCAGCACCCGTCCCAATCACCTCTAGCTATTGAAAGCTCCAGAGGGCCACAAGGCATGTTCCTACCTTCCCTTCTACATCTAGGCTTATAATATACCACATCCTCACTCATAAATGCAACCCCAATGAAGGGGGGGAATGGAAACCTACCAAACACTTCATCCAGTTCCCTGTGAACCTTCTTCTGGGCTTCAGGATTACATCCAAGTAAGTACAGGGCCCAGTTCATAGCAGCTGCTGTTGTATCATGGCCCTAGAGGTCCAGATTTACAAAAACTTCAACACTATTCCTGTGCACAAGTAGGCTTCATAAATACTTAGGTGTGTAGGTAGTATGGAAAGTGAGACTTATTAGTCCCACAACCACGAGAAAAACAAAAGTCAAGTGTGAAGAACTCTATGCAAAACATTATCAGGATATAAGATGACCCATGATTCTGTCAGGTGCCTGAAAACTGACCAAAAGGGGAAAAAAACACAAAAAAATGACGTAAGACAAACAAACAAACAAACAAACAAACAAAAAAGGAAATAAAAGAAAAAAAGATGGGAACACAAAAGGAAAATGTTGACCAACAAAGGATTTTGGTAGTAAAAAGGTGCACTTGTGAAGTCGATGCTGCACCTCTTCAAAATCCAGCTATGGAGTAGTACAGGAATGGTAAGATGGGAAGAGTTTCTCTAGGTTACAACAGCAGTAATACGACTCTGAATTAAGCTCTTCTGAGATAGAATTCAGGTCCACCTAATGGAGATGTGTGAAAAACTTGGGAAAGTCTTGGTTAGAATCCTTCACTGGACAGGGAACCAGACATATGAAGACAGTACACCAAAGCACAGCTGATGACATTACCAGGAAGCTACAGCCAACGTGGCAAGGGACAAAATGTGAGGAGAGCTGACAAAATGCAAGGCAAAACACTGAAACCATTAGAGCTCTCTTTAGCGTTACTGAGGTTTGCAACAGGAGCTGAGAGCCCATGGCCCACATCAGCCATTAAGCTCTTACTACTCACCTGTTTTCATGAGTAGAGCCTGATCACATAGGCAGGGCCTGTCATGTGTATTGCCCAACATTTTGCCAGGGCACACAGTTTTGGATCAAATGTTTCTATCCTTCAGTAGTTTCTATCCTATGGAGATTTCCTTTTAGTCTTCCAGGGCTAAAATAACTTCATACCAAAAGCAACCTCCTGAACTAAGAAAAGGAAGAGTCACTACCTGCAAATGGTGAATCTCAGGTTCTGGGGGAAAAAAGCAAACAAACAAAACAAACCAAACACAAAAGCCCTAAGCAAAAAACAACCAATGGATTCTTTGGGTACCTCAAACATGAAGGTATCCACTTCATCACGAATGTCCCTGTAGCTCAATTTATTCCCTTCATCATCTGTTGCACTCAGCAGCATGTCCAGGAAAGCTTTTCTCTTTATGGAGCCACTTTCTTCTATTTGTTTGGTGTTTTCAAGTTCCGCAGCTTTTTCTGCAATCACCTGAGATTAGAACCATTACATTAGATATGATGCATGCAACACGTGTGTACAGTCTACATCACACAAGTTTGTCCCAACTTATTAGAACAACATTCATCTGTAGCAGCCTACACAAGCTAGTTAGCATAGCTGTCAGCATTAGCTCATGAACTTTAACTGACTTCTTCCATTAGTAGGTGAAAAAATGACCAACCCCTCTTGTCCCAAGCAACAGAATGAACGTTGAATAGCATTTGTGTGATCAAGAAAAATAGATAGCCAAACTATACAAACAAGCTTTTGATCATCAACAAGTGTAAACACATCCAGAGCGTCTGGAAAAAGCCAATTGTGAATGCCAACAATAATGACAACAAATCAAAAGACATCACCACAATTTGAACTGACTGATCACCAAGATGACCTTCTCTACCTTATCCAATAACTAAGGATCACATCTCTAACCACTGGGGAACCCAGGAAATTGAAGAGAAGCCAGGACACCCCACAACGCTGCATCAGGACTAACGCATAGCATGGCTGGAACCACTACACTAAAGCTTCCTAAATTCTCTTCAGTATGAGAGCAATGGTTGAACTTCCCTTTTTAGGTCAAAGCACAGTCCCAGTGACAAACAGATTTCTTGCTGCCACCACCATTGTCATCACAGCAAAACAGAACCCTTCAATGAACTGATATTGCTATCAACAACAACAAAATAATTAATAATAAAGGCTGTAGAGTATGCAGTTCTGTTCAGAGGAAGCACTGAATGGGGGGAGGAAAAAATAGTTATATACACACAGAGTTTCCCTTGCTGAACATACACGTATAAAGACACATACTGAACCACCTTTTGCCTCACCGCTTTCTGTCAGCACCTACACTAGGTGATATTATTATTTACTGGTCCTTTGTCATCTTCTAAGATTTGGCTTCTTACATTCAATGCACCAGCCCAGCATGGGAAACGAGCATTAGTGTAGGTCCCTTTAAGAGACGCTTTCATGCCTCACTGCTGCAATTCCCAGTAAAAGGAAGCAAAACATGAACTACTTAAAAACAACACAGAGTCAATGTGGCTCATTATAAGTAGTGAAAGTTCAGAGTTCCCTTTGTTGTGGGCATTGATACAATGACATGGCGGGGCACATACATCTATTTCAGGGAAAGCAGCCTCTCTGGTAAGATCCTAACAGTAGATTTGGGAGCACAACCATTGGCAAGAATAGCACAGGAACTATTTGGTGAGAGAAAGGGGTGCACAGTCTAACACAGTGAAAGAACACTGCGTTTTATGCCAAGTCAGTGATGTATGCTTAATGGTTTCTGTGTCAAAGTGTCTTACTGCTGATGGGGGGGACCTGCATATGTCTGCTCATCTCAGCAGTTCTGCTTCAAATAGGGGAAAATGAATACAGGCTTCTGTTTCTGAGGGCTGGATCAAGTGACATTACCAAGCACAGGCCTACGCCTACTGCGACAAACTTGTCAGTGAGCTGTTGCAGGTGATTCAGATGCAGAGCACCTGGGGCAGAACAAGAGTTCAATTCATTCCTGTTTGTTTTGGTTGTCCTGTTACTCCCTTGGAGTAGTATACTCCCTTGCTTAAATACGACAGAGTTCCTGACAGGGAAGTCATCTGTTGTCTTCTTTTCAGGAATTCCTTGGCATCCCAACAGAGAGATAATTCTCCTGTTAATAGACACATGTCAAGGGGGCTGAACCTCACCCCATTTGGAAGCTCTCTACTGAGCGCTAGACTTTGTTCCAACAACTAAAATGTACCATTAAAGCATTTAAAAAAAAAAAAAAAAAAGAATCTATACTGTATCTGTAAAATTGTGAAGTATCTTGAGGTTCCTCTCATGCTCTCTTCCTTCCTTGAACAGCATATATACAAGATCAGGCCAAAGCCAAGGGCTCTTCTGTCGCTGTTGGATTAGGTCGCTCATCCTAGGGGCACAACAATTACATCATGTAACATTTCTTGACAAAAAAACAAACTTAACAGCACACTTTCAAGAAGAAAAAAAAAAAAAAAAAAAAAAAAAAAATTTAC